TTGAGCACCTGTAGCTTTTGCCATTTGTTGCAGGGTACTAGAACTAGTTCCTTTCCAGCACAGAAAGACTACTGTACTATGACTGGCCTCATTTTACAGGAGACACGGGTAAAATGAGGCTAAGCAACCTGCCTAGCTCCTTCCCATCATCTTCTGTGCCTCGACCATTGTCCTTTCCCTACTGCTGTTCTTAGTACTAACCATTCTTTACGAGTCAGGAGTCACCAGGCAGTGGTGGCACGTGCCTTTTATCTCCCTTAGGAGGGAGAGGCAGGCAGATCTCAGTGAATTTGAGGCCAGCCTGGTCTAGAGTGAGTTCCAGAATAGCCAGGGCTGCACAGTGAACCCCCGTCTTGGGGACAAAAACAAACAGGAGCCTCATGTCTTGGAGAAAATCCTATTTTCTGACTTCTCAAACCTTTCAGTCATCCTCACTCCACTAGTCTCCTACTGTAGTAGCCATCTGTTCATATATACAACCCCCCAAAAATTCTTTTTCACATAAGCATTATCTCTCATGTCTGTTAATCCAAAGTGGACCCCAAATATGGCAGTGCTAGTGACAATGTCCTAAACAGAAGGACTCTAACTGGGTAAATAGAAGGATTGTTATTGGGTAAGGGCACCTAGTTCCTGATTAATCTGAACATCCTGTAGCAGCACAAAGACCCCCCCACCTGCTAACTGTCATACAAAATGCTTTTCCACTATTTTGCTTCTTCCTGCCCTTCTGAGAGATAGATAGATAACCTTGGCAGTTTGACCCCCAATAAACCTTTCTTTTCTACCCATGGAGTGGTCCAGTTCTACTTAAACTAACACATCTCCAGGACAAAGTACACAAGGTTAGTGCAACAGTCAAGAGTACTGGTATACAAGAGGCATTCAAGAAATGCTCGTTCATCGATTCTACCTTTCCATCAAAGACAGTGTCCTTAAGTAGTATGTAGATTTTCTGAGCCAGCTCTTCCTTATTGCGCTTGAAATTCCTTCCAGAATACTGTTTTAGTTTTTCAACGTTATTCAAGAAACATCCAGGTATTGCACATAGATTTCCTGCGAAGGTAAATTCAGGTTAATTTTGCATGGCTAAAGAAATAGAAGGCATGTATGTATAAAGGTGTAACAACTTGCTGCTTCTTCCTTCCAGTTCATTAGATAAAGCTTGCTTCTGGTGTGTGGTGGATGGTCTGCCCCCCATCGCTGCATGACCCTGGACCCAAAAGTGGGTTTTTAAAATTTGATTGTTTTTAGTGTTTTTTAAAGTTTAATTTATTTATTTTACATCCCAACCTGTTTCACCTCCCTCTTTCCCTCCCCCCAATCCATTACTCCTCTGTTTATGTTCAGAAAGGGGCAGGCTTCCAATGGTTATCAATCAATCATGGCATATCAAGTTTCGGTAAGACTGAGCACCTCCCCTTGTATTAAGGCTGGGCAAGGTAACCCATTGTGAGGAATAGGTTCTCAAAAGCCAGTTAAAGCGTTAGGGACAGCCTCTGCTCCCATTGTTAAAAGTCCCACAAGTAGGCCAAGCTAGACTGCTGTGGAATATCCCTTTCACTATGTGAATGAATACGTGTCCATATGACTGGTTAAATAAAGAAGCTGACTGGTCAATAGCTGGGCAGAAAGAGACTGAGCAGGAGAGCCAAACGAGGAGAATACTGGGAAGAAGAAGGGTGGAGTCTGGAATCATCAGCAGAGACAGAAACAAGACTGGCATGCCATACTGAGAAGAGGTACCAAGCCACATGGTAGAGAGTAGATAAAAAATATGGGTTGCCAGGCGGTGATGGTGTACGCATGGAATCCCAACACTCAAGAGGCAGAGGCACGCAGATTGCTGTGAATTCAAGGCCAGTATGGTCTACAGAGCAAGTTCCAGGACAAGCTCCAAGCTACAGAGAAACCCTGTCTCAAAAAACAAAACAAAACAAAAAGCAAAAGAAATATGGGTTAATTTAAATTTAAGTGTTTGCTAAGTAACAAACCTGAACTATTATTGGCTGATCATTTACAAGTAATATTGAGTCTTTGTGTTGGTTACTTGAGAAATGGCTGCTGGGAGGGATAAATTCCACCTACACTACACAAGTGTCACATATATGTAGAGAGCCTAGGTCAGTTCCATACATGATCCCTGGTTGTTGGTTCAGACTTTGAGCCCCTATGAGTCCTGGTTAGTTGATTCTATGGCTTCCTTGTGATGTCCTTGACCCTTCTGGCTCCTACAACCCTTCCTTCCTCTGGAAGTGTTTTTTTTTTGGTTCATTTTGTTTTTTGTTTTTTATTTTTAGGAGATAGGCTCTTACCACATAGGCAAGGCTAGCCCCGGAACTCGTGGCAATCATTCTGCCTTATCCTTCCAATTGCTGGGATTTAGCAGATGTGTCATGTGGGAACACCAGACCTTGAGCAGAGACCCACTTCCCCTTCTGCCTGGGAGTAGGCTGCTGTAAGACAATGTTTAGTAAAAACATGTTTACTAAAAACGATACAATAAGTTCCTGGAAAAGGCCTTCCCACGGAAACCGCCCTGACCTCGACCTTGTCCAAAGACTAACCGCACCTTCAAAACCCACACACATCCACCTCTGGTGTCAGAGCAGAACCAGCCAGGGTAGAGGAGAGAGCAGAAGCTTCTCTGGTGGGAGCTTTTCTTGAACCTTTTTGGGGCCTGTTTAAAGTTTTCTTTATATCATTGAACGAGTCTCTGTGTTGTCAATCCCCGACACCCTCCGCACGTTCTCGGACACAGGCCGCGCAGCAGACGTGACAGTGTCACTATACCTGGTTCCATCCCCAAGCACCACAAAACCACAAAAAAATCAAATGTTCACACACACACACACGCTTCTTCAAATATACTTTTAAGATAATTCAGATGTAGTCAGGCTGTGGTGGCACATGTCTTTAATCCCAGCACTAGGGAAGCAGAGGCAGGCGGATCTCTGTGAGTTCAAGGCTAGCCTCATCTACAAATCGAGTTCCAGGACAGCCAGGGCTACACAAAGAAAACCCTGTCTCAAAAAAACAAAAACAAAACAAAAAGATAATTCAGTTGTCACTGTGCATTACTCCTGAATGAAAGTAAAAACAAAGACAAGCCAGGAAGTGGTAATGCATGCCTTTAATTCCAGCACTCGAAAGTAGAGGCAGGTGGATCTCTGTGAGTGCGAGGCCAGCCTGGTTTATAGAGTGAGTTCCAGGGCAGCCTCCAAAGCTACACAGAGAAACCCTCAAAAAAAAGAGAGACAAAATTGAAAAGTGAGATTTTTAAAAGAATCTAAATGAGAAAATATATTGACTTCTATCTTAAGTATTAACATACCTTTGACCCATGCAATCACTTGCTTTTGATAGTTTCCTGTGGCTTAATAAAAAATAAAAGAACTCCAGGCAATCTACCTGACCCTAACACTTTTTTTTCTGAGTCACGAATGCTTTGAAAATTCACAGGATAGCACGGATGTGACTCAGTGGCAGAGTGCTTGGCAGCATGTTCAAAGCTAAGGGTTCTAGCCCCAATCCTGCCAAACAAATCAACACCCAATAATATACACAATAGTAAGGAGAAATGTATTCATGGAAAGCGCCAGAAAAACCTGGAAGACTAACTCCCTACCCCCACCCCGTCCAATCCCAGAACATGTAAGTTCTACTTTCTCCACTCTGATTGCCCTGTTTGTTGATTTTTGAGGTAAAAGTATTAAATAACCCAGATTGGCCTTGAGCTTGATTTGTAGAGGGCAGCCTTGAACTCCTAATTGTCCCGCCTCTGGGATTAATGTGCCATTACATTCAATTGTGTTGGCTTGCATAAGTACAAACTGATGGCCATCTGCCTGTGTCCAGCCTAAAAAGTGCCTTAGTTACATAGTCACCTTTGACCTGAGTTTAAGGACAAAGGAAACCTCAGAGGCCAGAGCTGCTGTGAGATTGAAGGAAGCCTTCTGCCAAGTAATGACTAGGATTTAAGTAGAGCACACAGGCATGGTACTTTGGCTAGAGGGGAGGGGAGCCCACCACGATGACCATGACACGCAGCATCAGCAGGTGACCTCATCACTCTGCATGTGCATGCCCACTTAGGGTCAGAAACTTTCATTTAGCCATACTCCTTCATCCCCTTGGAATCTCCGGTATTCCCTGGACTGATGAACATGCAAAAAATATGCAATCAAATCCCATGCAAATGATCAAAAGAGCAGCACACATACCCAGTCTTGCAATTTTCAACTTTGGCTGCAATGGGTTTCTTCTGAGAAGGCCCTCAACTTTTTCATCCACAATCTATTGAAAGGATAATAGTTTGATTGTACCCTGAAAATTGGTACCATCAAGCAGCTGACAGAAAGGGAAGCTCATGAAGAAAACTCTCCCGGCAGGGTGGTGGTGGGGGCCCACGCCTTTAATCCCAGCACTTGGGAGGCAGAGGCAGGCAGATCTCTGAGTAAGAGGATAGCCTGGGCTACAGAGTGAGTTCTAGGACAATCAGGGCTATACAGAGAAACTCTTGTGTTTAAAAAAGAAAAGAAAAAAGGCTCTCATAGGCAAGCACAGGGCAGCACCTACCAACAAGACTGTGTGGGCAGGCTGCATACTGCTACCTTCTGAGTGACTCCATCTGGGGTCACCAACCACCAGCGGAGAGACCAGAGTAAGATTCTGTCTTGCTGGCCTGGTGGTGAAGCACACCTTTAGTCCCAGCATTTGGGATGCAGAAGCAGGTGGATCTCAGTGAATTCGAGGCCAGCCTAGTCTGCAGAATGAGTGCCAGGACAGCCAGAGCACAGAGAAACTCTGTCTCAAAAAATAAAGATTCTGTCCTGCGTTGAAAGCAAGGTTGCATGACCAACTACAATGCATGCAATCTAAATATTGGTATGATGTACCCCATATTCCCAGCAGCACCTTCACCCGATTTGCAAGCCAAACCTCGCCTTTCACCATCTTCCAGAATCCACAGTACCAATAACTCCAGCCAGAGACTTCACTCAATTTATTTAACATTTATTAAACATGTTACATCCCACTCATGTGGCTAGACCCTCAAGAGAATAAATCATTAAGAGTCCTCTTTAGAACAGACTGAGGGAACAAATTCAGTAAGATGTTACATACAACACTCTAGAAAAACTCTGAAACTGTGAGGAAGGAGTCACTTTAACTTATGGCTGCACAGAAGAATTGACAATTGGCCAGAGTCATGGGGACATGTTGAAGATGACGACCCTTAACATGTCCCCATGACAGGAGACAGGAAATTCAGGGGGAAAGCACTCCAGGGGAACTGAACATATTGGAGCATAAGATGGGCATGAGAGCCCCCACCCCCATTTGCAGAAAGAGCCTTTTTACTTGTGTGGGCGTGCCCTTTTGCCTCTGGGTTTCTTTAATGGCGGGCATTTGGCAGGGTCAGCAGGTTGGTCTGCTACTGTGGGCTCATCAGGAAGACTAGGCTCTGCAGAGGCACTTGGCAGGCTGGGCACATCCTGTGAGATGGCCTGACGACGTCGTTTCCGACGTGACTTAGGAGGTGCCATACATATGAATCTGTTTTTTCTCTTCCTTCTTTGTTGTGCCAACAGAGCTGCAGCCTTTCTCTCCTTGGCCTCTTTGGCTGTAACATTTTGCTCAGGCTCTGGTTCTAGCTCTGGCTCCCCTGTGGGTTCGGGCTCCTGCTTAGGCTCGGGCTCCTGCTCTGTTTCTGGCTCAGACTCCCACTGGGGCTCCGGCTCTGCTTTTGGCTCGGGCTCCCAGTGGGACCCCAGCCCGGGCTCTGTTTCTGGTTCAGTTTCTGGCTCAGGCTCGCACTGGGGCCCAGGCTCTGGCTCTAGCTCTGTTTCTGGCTCGGGCTCCCACTGGGGCCCAGGCTCGGGCTCTGGCTTGGTTTCTGGCTCGGGCTCTAGCTCTGGCTCTGTTTCTGGCTCGGGCTCCCACTGGGGGCCCGGCTCGGGCTCTGGCTCTGCTTCTGTTTCTGGCTCGGGCTCTGGCTCTGCTTCTGTTTCTGGCTCGGGCTCCCACTGGGGCCCAGGCTCGGGCTCTGGCTCTGCTTCTGTTTCTGGCTCGGGCTCCCACTGGGGCCCAGGCTCGGGCTCTGGCTCTGCTTCTGTTTCTGGCTCGGGCTCCCACTGGGGCCCAGGCTCGGGCTCTGCTTCTGTTTCTGGCTCTGGCTCCCACTGGGGCCCAGGCTCTAGCTCTAGCTCTGTTTCTGGCTCGGGCTCCCACTGGGGCCCAGGCTCGGGCTCTGGCTCTGCTTCTGTTTCTGGCTCGGGCTCCCATTGGGGCCCAGGCTCGGGCTCTGGCTCTGCTTCTGTTTCTGGCTCGGGCTCCCACTGGGGCCCAGGCTCTGGCTCTGGCTCTGCTTCTGTTTCTGGCTCGGGCTCCCATTGGGGCCCAGGCTCGGGCTCTGGCTCTGCTTCTGTTTCTGGCTCGGGCTCCCACTGGGGCCCAGGCTCGGGCTCTGGCTCTGCTTCTGTTTTTGGCTCGGGCTCCCACTGGGGCCCAGGCTCGGGCTCTGCTTCTGTTTCTGGCTCTGGCTCCCACTGGGGCCCAGGCTCTAGCTCTAGCTCTGTTTCTGGCTCGGGCTCCCACTGGGGCCCAGGCTCGGGCTCTGGCTCTGCTTCTGTTTCTGGCTCGGGCTCCCACTGGGGCCCAGGCTCCGGCTCCCACTGGGGCCCAGGCTCCGGCTCCCACTGGGGCCCAGGCTCCGGCTCCCACTGGGGCCCAGGCTCCGGCTCCCACTGGGGCCCAGGCTCCGGCTCCCACTGGGGCCCAGGCTCCGGCTCCCACTGGGGCCCTGGCTCCGGCTCCCACTGGGGCCCTGGCTCCGGCTCCCACTGGGGCCCTGGCTCGGGCTCCCACTGGGGCCCTGGCTCGGGCTCCCACTGGGGCCCTGGCTCGGGCTCCCACTGGGGCCCTGGCTCGGGCTCCCACTGGGGCCCTGGCTCGGGCTCCCACTGGGGCCCTGGCTCGGTTTCTGGCTTGGGCTCTAGCTCTGGCTCGGGCTCTGGCTCCCACTGGGACTCTGGCTCTAGCTCTGTTTCTGGTTCAGACTCCCACTGAGGTCCCGGCTCAGGCTCTGGCTTTGTTTCTGGTTCGGGCTCCCACTGGGACTCTGGCTCTGGCTTGGTTTCTGGCTCTGGCTCTGTTTCTGGCTCAGACTCCCACTGAGGTCCCGGCTCAGGTTCTGGCTTGGTGTCTGGCTCTGGCTCAGGCTCCCACTGGGGCCTAGGCTCAGGCTCTGTTTCTGGTTCAGGCTCCCACTGAGGTCCCGGCTCAGGTTCTGGCTCTATTTCTGACTCGGGCTCCCACTGGGGCTCTGGCTCTGGCTTGGTTTCTGGTTCGGGCTCCCACTGGGGCTCAGGCTCAGGCTTGGCTGGCTCAATTTCTGGCTTGGGCTCCCACTGGGACCCTGGCTCTGTTTCTGGCTCAGGCTCGGGTTCTGGCTCAGGTTCGGGTTCCTGCTCGGGCTCCAATTGTGGTTGTTTGGAACTTTCATCAAGATCCCATATTTCACAAACATCAGATGAAGTGGGCTCAGATTCAATACATTCAATCACCTCTTTTTCGGGTATAGGCATTTGGCACTCAACACTGGAATCATCTCTTTTCTTCTCAGCATCCCTCAAATGAGGATTGTCATCATCATCGATAACAATTATTGAAGTCTTCTGAACACTGGAGCCCTCAGTGTTAGAAGAATTGTCAGAGGACTCGTCAGAGGACTCGTCAGAAGATTTGTCAGAAGACTGGTCAGAAGATTGGTCAGAAGACGTGTCAGAAGACGTGTCTGAAGACTCATCTGAAATTCAAGAGACATCTGTAAATACACTCCTTCTACCTACTCTGTACATACAGACATCAGCAGGTTATTGAGCATGAATTAAACTGAAACTGGTTGAGTGATTGAACATTCTGAATCACAGTTAAAAATCATGGTTATAGATTATTTTCCCTCTATTTTGCATTTTACTAAGAGCAATGACAGCTAAACTAGCAATGAAATACTATGCCCACTTTAAAAATCACATTGTCTGAACATGAGGTACTTGCTCAGTTGTTCCCAAACACAAACCTGCTGCCTTGTGCTCTATAGCAAAACAAGGGCAATTGCATCAATAATTATTTAATTAATATCAAGTTAAAGTTCTCTAGCTTAGAAAATTTCTTTATTTAGTCATTATGGCCTGGATGGACTTTTGGAAGATAGATAGCAATTGGCACCTCCCCCAATCACAGTCTCCACCAAGTTGGAAGAAAAGCTGAGTTCTCTTACCCTTGCCTCATCATTGTCATTCTTATTTATAAAGAATGGAAAGAGAGGAAGAGGGAGGAGCAGAGTCTAGGCAGACAGAACTCTACCCAAGTCCTAGGCAGCAGGAAGAGCTGCAACTGTATTAGGAAACAAGGCGTGGGAACCCAGTCATACTTACATCCAGCACATGATAGAAAAAAAAATGATGGCATTGGCTATAAAGTCATCATAAACTAAGAGTGTGCAGAGTCAGATCCTAAAACTGCCACATGTGACAAGGCTTCAGAGCTGAGCTATTACTCTAAGTGAAATGATACTTGCCTTCACTGTTCATTTCACAGATCTTAGCTCTCTTTTTCTCAGGGGGAGAATCAGAATCAGAGTCTGAGTTGATCACCACACAGCTAAGTAATAAAGTGGAAAAAACAAAAGAAAAATATGACCACAATATCCTTCCCTTCAGGGCATTTTCCATATTTTCTATAACAATCAGGATTACTTGTTAAGTTTTGGTTGTTTCCTACACTAATTCTGTTTCCCCCTTCATTGGAACTACAACCTTTCAATCATTCCTAATTTCTCTATACCTTTCCCTTTTCTTACAACCTACCCAAAGGAGGCATCTGTCAGCCACTAAGAGTAAACTGGGCCTTGTCAGAGTGCAAGTACTTAAACAGTTCTGGGGCAGGGAAGAACTCATCGGGGAGCTTATCATTCTTCATCAACTTTCAGAAGAATTTGTGTAAGATTTAAGAGCCATTTAAGCACTTTCTTACTTCAAGAGGGAAGAACCAGGGCACAGTCACAATGTGAACAAAGCAGAAGCAAACTCCAACTGTGTAAAGAATTCAGTGTCTAATGTCTGGGATCCAGTCATGGTCTTCTGGCTCCTCCACTCCTCTAGCTCCACCCACTACGGCCCACACACAGATTGTCTAAGATCATGATGGCTCCACTCCAAGGCTGCTACTGTTCTTGGTGGCTGTCCCATGGAACTGGCATTTCCAAAATGCTGAGGTCTCTTGCTGCAACTGGGCTGCACTTTCACCAACAGCCTCTTCTGGGCTCTCTTGGGGACTTCAGCCCTGCCATACAATACCAAGTCTCAGCTGCTCTCCATGACTTCAAAACCAGTACCACCTGGGTGACTCTTACACTGGTTCTGCTGGCAGCACAAGGTACAACCTTGGCCACCTTTGGAACACCACTTCTGTGTGCTAATTCTAAGAAAACACTTCCCTGAAGATTTTACCTCAACGATGGTACTCTCTTCTTAATCACTGCTAATTTCTCAGTTCTAACTGTTCAGCATCAATTCTCCCAGCAAACAAAAGTTTCATATAGTATGTGGGAATGTGCATGTGCCACAGAACACATATGGAAAACAACTCTGTGAAGTCAATTCTCTTCTTTCACCTTTACATGGATTCTGGTGATCAAACTCAAGTCATGAGGCTTATGTGGCAAGTACCTTAACTCAGTGATCCATCTCCTGGACACGAAACACTTATGATGAAAGAAAAACACTCCAAATACTATATTTTCCTGTATCCACTAGAAATACCAAGGCTAATCTACTTCTACCATGCATCATCTCTTTTAAACTATAAAGTTGATGGGCCTTTGCTATCTATCCTATTTACTGCTTTAGCCTTAAAGAATCTTTCTTTCTTTTTGGTTTTGAGACAGGGTTTCTCTGTGGCTTTGGAGGCTGTCCTGGAACTCACTCTTGTAGACCAGGCTGGTCTTGAACTCACAGAGATCCGCCTGCCTCTGCCTCCCGAATACTTGGATTTAAAGGCATGCACCTTCACCACCCAGCAAGAATCTTTCCTGTCGGCTGGGTTTGATGACACACCCCTTCAATTTCAGTACTCGGGAGACAGAGGAACTCTGAGTTCCAGGACATCCAGAGCTACACAGAGAAGGAAACCCTATCTAAAAAAAAAATGTGTCTTCTATGGGCTCGAGAGATGGTTCAGCAGTTAAGAACACTTGCTCTTTTAAGAAAAGAATTTAATTGGTGGTGGTGGTGGTGGTGTACACCTTTAATCCCAGCACTCGGGAGGCAGAGGCAGGCGGATCTCTGAGTTCGAGACCAGCCTGGTCTACAAGAGCTAGTTCACGGACAACCTCCAAAGCCACAGATAAACCCTGCCTCGAAAAACAAAAAACAAAAAAGCAACAGCTGAACAGTTAAACAATGGCCCAAGGCAAAAATCAGATAGTTTAAAACTGGTTATGAAGTCAAACAACCATCGTGACCCTGTCAGTATCGCGTAGTGTTTGTTCTCAGAGAAAATGTGACATTTACTCTTAAATCTTCTTACCCAGAGCTGGGCTTTGGTGGAGCATGCCTTTAATCCCAGCACTCGGGAGGCAGAGGCAGGCGGATCTATGTGAGTTCGAGGCCAGCCTGGTCTACAAAGTGAGTTCCAGGACAGTCTCCAAAACAATACAGAGAAACCCTGTCTCGAAAAACCAAAAAAAAAAAAAAAAACAAACCAAAAACAAAAACCTTCTTACCCAGAACAACGGGTATTTACTTTTTTTAAGGTAAAGTTTCAACAATTATCCTTACCTAGACCTTTTCTCCAGCAATTCAGACATATCTAAATAAAGGAAAGAAAAAACGTTAGGAAGCATGATAAAACCTAGTATCTCTTGTCTTTTACTCCTGAAAACCAGTTTATAAATTAGAGCTAGTAAAATTTACATTTCCCTAAAACTGTGGATATAGGTCAGTGGTAGAACACTTGCCTAGCACACCTTGGGCTCTATGTCCAACAATGGAAAGAAAACCAAAGAAAGGAAGAGAGGGAGGAAGATGGAAGGGAGAAAATTTATAGCCCCCAAAAAGACTGAGAGGGACTGAAAGAAGACTCAGGAACCAAAAAAGGGGTAAACAACACATAAAGAAAACATGAAGATCTGCTCTTGACAGCAGGGAAATAAACTTCATTTCAGCAACCCAGAGAGAACACTAGAGGGGGCAAACCAAGGACCAGATCAAGTCAACTGTCCCAAATCTCATTTCAGTCAACTCTGCAAAGATGCTTGATGTGCATTAGTGTTGAAAGCGGGCTCTACTTACAGGCTTCACAGTCTTCATCACTGCTGCTGCTGCTTGAATCCATGGTAAGAATAAACTGGGGGGAAAAAGAGGCTTTTAAAGTGAGAGCTACCAACAACACAGGCCATAAAATATCAAAACTCTCCAATAAATACTGACAAAGCTTCCAAAATGCAAGGTCAGAAGATACTTTAAGAGTGTACATGTAGCTGGGTGTTGGTGGCACACGCCTTTAATCCCAGCACTCAGGAGAGGCAGGTGGATCTCTGAGTTCCAGGCCAGCCTGGTCTACAAAGCGAGTTCCAAGACAGCCTCCAAGACAATACAGAGAAACCCTGTCTCGAAAAACCAAAAAAAAAAAAAAAAAAAAAAGAGAGCGTATGTGTGTCCAGGCTGGTCTATAGCAAAACCTTATCTCAAAACTAAAATAGTAATAATGTATTAAATGTATTAGATTAGACCCCGGGCTGGCTTTAAACCCCATGTAATGGAACAAGACCTTGAAGCTTTTATCCTTCTGCCTCCCCCTTCTCAAGGACTGGGATTACAGTAGTATGTCTGAAAAAGCAACAGGCACTTTTAACTGCTATGCCATCCCTCAAGTCCCTATACACACATCTTTAAAAGACACATATACAACTACATTCAAATAAATGTACAATGTGCAGTTTTCAAAAATATGGAGATGTTTCCAAAGTGAACAGTGAGGTATTAACTCACTCAGAACTCTCCAACTATGCTAATAAGTCTGCTGTAAGATGGCTCACCTAGACTCCCACAAAACACGCTCTTGAGCGGTAGTTATAACCAGAAATTAGCTGTCCTCTCTCTTCTCTACCCCTATGGTACCATCACTTCTTATCCTCTGAGCCACTTTTCCAGCCCCAGTACCATCACCTCTGCCTATCACATTTTTAAAACACATTTTTAATCACAATTCACTGTAATTATCTACATACATGTTTCAATGTGCTACCCTAAATAGCAAGCAACACTAGGACTTGGAAGTATTATGTGTTTAATTTTGGTCAATACAAATAACTGATGCATGAATAAATATCAAGATCAAGGAGTGGTTCTAAAATCAGGTGGCTCATGTATATAGTCTTAACACTTAGAAAGCTAATGGAGGATGATTGCTACAAGTTCCAGACCAGCCTTAGATATACTGACAGTTTGTTCCACGATATTTTTAGCTATGGAGTGATTTTAAAGCGATTTTTTAAAAAAAGCAATTAACATTTTTTAAATTCTAAAAAAAATGACAGTGATACCCCCCCATTATTTATGATGATCTACTCTTCGTCACTAAAGTACAAGGCTTTAAAAGGTTGTTTTCAATTTTTTTGAGACAAGAGTTTCCCTGCGTAGCTTTGGAGGCTGTCCTGAAATTAGCTCTTGTAGACCATGCTGGCCTTGAACTCATAGAGATCAGCCTGCCTCTGCCTCCCAAAGTGCTGGGATTAAAGGCGTGCGCCACCACCATTGCCTAGCTAATGTTTTTAAAATTTTTATTTATGTGTACATGTCTCTGTGTGTACCTATGCCACAGTTGTATGGCTGCCCACAAAGGTGTAGTGGCAAGCATCTTAGCACTCAGGAGGCTGAGGGAAGAGCTGAGCTTAATGCCAGTGTGATCTAAGTGAAGTACTAAGTTCCAGGACAGTCAGACTATACAAAGACCACCACAAAAATAAACAAAAAAGAAACAAGTTTGGCCTTTTATTCCCAGCACTCACAGGCAGAAGCAAGCAGAATTTTTTGAGTTTGGGGTCAGTGTAGTCTACATAGTGAGTTCCAGGCCAGCCAGAGCTACCCGGTCAGAGCCTTCCCAAAAATACAAATTTTTAAAAATAAAGAAGAAATTAAATAAGATAACTTTTTGAGTTTAGGAAAAAATACTAGTAGTGGAATTGTTGACGAAGATTGTGAATATTTAACGTGGGGCAATGTGGCCCTCATCACTAATCCTAGAAGTGAGGAAAAGGTAGGTGGAGATCTGTGTTGAGACCTAAGAGCTTCAGGCCAGTAAGGGCCACATAGTGAGATCCTGCACCAGAAATTTGGTAGAGGTATGGATATTTAAAATACTGGAACTTCTTAACTATCCTCTTAAAAGTTCAGTTAATATTCTACTCAATTCTATGAAGTTGCCTACTTCCTTACACATTTGCCAATACTATATATTACCAAACTCCTTTTCTAAGTGTTCCACTCTGAATTACATAGTTAGCCATTTAATGTTATTTTGCTCATTTATTAGAAAATTAATCATGGTAGTATATAGTATAGCTCTGTTATCCCAGCAGAAGGATCACTGTAAATTTGAGGACAGCCTGTGCTATATAGTGAGTAGCAGACCAGTCACGGGATTAAAAATGTGGGCAACCACCACCCAGCACTGTGAACACAATGTAAAATACATATATTTATTAGAGAATCTTTGTCTCTAAGGACACCTGGAATCAGCAGTTGGAGACATAACCTGGATAACAAAATCAAACTAAATATAAAATAGCCGGACAGGTGAGATGACTCAGAGTTAAAGGCAAACTGAGTCCAAACCCCAAAACACATTTTATAAAGATAGGAGAGCACCAAATCTACAGAATTACCCAAAACTCCACCATGAAAGTACACTCAGTCATACGCGATACTTAATTAAGAGGGTTTTGTCTTGTTTTTGGTTTTCCAGTCAGGGTTTCCTCTGCGACATCAAATTCAAGAGATTTGCCTACCTCTCCCTCAGAGGGCTGGAATTGAAAGTGTGCACACCAGGACCAAGCAAGAAAATTGTAAAATTATTTATTTTTAAAATGTATTGGTGATTGTGAGTCACCATGTATATAGCCCCTTAAACCACTTCAAGTGCCACGTTAATGAGGTATTAAGAAAATTTAGCCTAGTTTTATTTCAACCAGGTAATCTTGTAACTATTAATTGCTCAACCCCTATTCTCCAACAAGCTGCTCAAGGCATCACACTCTAAGTGAACTTTCCCGGTGGCTTGGGGTTAAGCACTCTCACCATGGTCCCCCTGCACTCCCTCTCCCAAAAGTCGCGCCCCCCCCCCAGTCACTCATCCCGGCCCTCTATTCCAGCTCTCAGCAGCCGCCCCGCCCACCAGTCCCTCTCAGACTCTCGGCCCCGCCTCCTGTTCCCGCTCTCGGCAGCCGCCCCGCCCACCAGTCCCTCTCAGACTCTCGGCCCCGCCTCCTGTTCCCGCTCTCGGCAGCCGCCCCGCCCACCAGTTCCTCTCAGACTGTCGGCCCCGCCTCCTGTTCCCGCTCTCGGCAGCCGCCCCGCCCACCAGTCCCTCTCAGACTCTCGGCCATGCCTTCTGCTCCCTCTCAGCAGCCGCCCCGCCCACCAGTTCCTCTCAGACTCTCGGCCCCGCCCACCAGTCCCCCTCAGACTCTCGGCCCCGCCTTCTGCTCCCTCTCAGCAGCCGCCCCGCCCACCAGCCCCTCTCAGACTCTCGGCCCCGCCCACCAGTCCCTCTCAGACTCTCGGCCATGCCTTCTGTTCCCGCTCTAGGCAGCCGCCCCGCCCACCAGCCCCTCTCAGACTCTCGGCCCCGCCCACCAGTCCCTCTCAGACTCTCGGCCATGCCTTCTGCTCCCTCTCAGCAGCCGCCCCGCCCACCAGCCCCTCTCAGACTCTGGGCCCCGCCCACCAGTCCCTCTCAGACTCTCGGCCATGCCTTCTGGTCCCTCTCGGCAACCGCCCCGCCCACCAGCCCCTCTCAGACTCTCGGCCCCGCCCACCAGTCCCTCTCAGACTCTCGGCCCCGCCTTCTGCTCCCTCTCGGCAGCCGCCCCGCCCACCAGCCCCTCTCAGACTCTCGGCCCCGCCCACCAGTCCCTCTCAGACTCTCGGCCATGCCTTCTGTTCCCGCTCTAGGCAGCCGCCCCGCCCACCAGCCCCTCTCAGACTCTCGGCCCCGCCCACCAGTCCCTCTCAGACTCTCGGCCATGCCTTCTGCTCCCTCTCAGCAGCCGCCCCGCCCACCAGCCCCTCTCAGACTCTGGGCCCCGCCCACCAGTCCCTCTCAGACTCTCGGCCATGCCTTCTGGTCCCTCTCGGCAACCGCCCCGCCCACCAGCCCCTCTCAGACTCTCGGCCCCGCCTTCTGCTCCCTCTCGGCAGCCGCCCCGCCCACCAGCCCCTCTCAGACTCTCGGCCCCGCCCACCAGTCCCTCTCAGACTCTCGGCCATGCCTTCTGTTCCCGCTCTAGGCAGCCGCCCCGCCCACCAGCCCCTCTCAGACTCTCGGCCCCGCCCACCAGTCCCTCTCAGACTCTCGGCCATGCCTTCTGCTCCCTCTCAGCAGCCGCCCCGCCCACCAGCCCCTCTCAGACTCTCTGCCATGTCCTTCACTTCCACCAGCCATGCCACCCCGCCCCATACTCCCCCAGCCACTTCCTCCCTGTGTCCTGCCCCAGCTCTTCTGTCCTGTTCCCTCTTGCGGGTTGCCCCGCCTCCTAATCACTCAAGCCACTTGGCCCTGCTTTCTGTTCCCCCTTGTCCTGTCCTCTATTCCTCCCCGCACCGATGCCCTCAGCCACTCCGCCCAGGCCGCTGCCCCTCTCAGACTCTCGGCCCCGCCCACCAGTCCCTCTCAGACTCTCGGCCCCGCCTTCTGCTCCCTCTCAGCAGCCGCTCCGCCCACCAGTCCCTCTCAGACTCTCGGCCCCGCCTTCTGCTCCCTCTCAGCAGCCGCCCCGCCCACCAGTTCCTCTCAGACTCTCGGCCCCGCCCACCAGTCCCTCTCAGACTCTCGGCCCCGCCTTCTGCTCCCTCTCAGCAGCCGCCCCGCCCACCAGCCCCTCTCAGACTCTCGGCCCCGCCCACCAGTCCCCCTCAGACTCTCGGCCATGCCTTCTCCCTCTCGGCAGCCGCCCCGCCCACCAGTTCCTCTCAGACTCTCGGCCCCGCCCACCAGTCCCTCTCAGACTCTCGGCCATGCCTTCTGGTCCCTCTCGGCAGCCGCCCCGCCCACCAGTTCCTCTCAGACTCTCGGCCCCGCCCACCAGTCCCTCTCAGACTCTCGGCCATGCCTTCTGGTCCCTCTCGGCAGCCGCCCCGCCCACCAGTTCCTCTCAGACTCTCGGCCCCGCCCACCAGTCCCTCTCAGACTCTCGGCCATGCCTTCTGGTCCCTCTCGGCAGCCGCCCCGCCCACCAGCCCCTCTCAGACTCTCGGCCCCGCCCACCAGTCCCTCTCAGACTCTCGGCCATGCCTTCTGCTCCCTCTCAGCAGCCGCCCCGCCCACCAGTCCCTCTCAGACTCTCGGCCATGCCTTCTGGTCCCTCTGGGCAGCCGCCCCGCCCACCAGTTCCTCTCAGACTCTCGGCCCCGCCCACCAGTCCCTCTCAGACTCTCGGCCCCGCCTTCTGCTCCCTCTCAGCAGCCGCCCCGCCCACCAGTCCCTCTCAGACTCTCGGCCATGCCTTCTCCCTCTCGGCAGCCGCCCCGCCCACCAGTTCCTCTCAGACTCTCGGCCCCGCCCACCAGTCCCTCTCAGACTCTCGGCCATGCCTTCTGCTCCCTCTCGGCAGCCGCCCCGCCCACCAGTTCCTCTCAGACTCTCGGCCCCGCCCACCAGTCCCTCTCAGACTCTCGGCCATGCCTTCTGCTCCCTCTCAGCAGCCGCCCCGCCCACCAGCCCCTCTCAGACTCTCTGCCATGTCCTTCAATTCCACCAGCCATGCCACCCCGCCCCATACTCCCCCAGCCACTTCCTCCCTGTGTCCTGCCCCAGCTCTTCTGTCCTGTTCCCTCTTGCGGGTTGCCCCGCCTCCTAATCACTCAAGCCACTTGGCCCTGCTTTCTGTTCCCCCTTGTGCTGTCCTCTATTCCTCCCCGCACCGGTGCCCTCAGCCACTCCGCCCAGGCCGCTGCCCCTCTCAGACTCTCGGCCCCGCCCACCAGTCCCCCTCAGACTCTCGGCCCCGCCTTCTGCTCCCTCTCAGCAGCCGCCCCGCCCACCAGTTCCTCTCAGACTCTCGGCCCCGCCCACCAGTCCCTCTCAGACTCTCGGCCATGCCTTCTGTTCCCGCTCTAGGCAGCCGCCCCGCCCACCAGCCCCTCTCAGACTCTCGGCCCCGCCCACCAGTCCCTCTCAGACTCTCGGCCATGCCTTCTGCTCCCTCTCAGCAGCCGCCCCGCCCACCAGCCCCTCTCAGACTCTGGGCCCCGCCCACCAGTCCCTCTCAGACTCTCGGCCATGCCTTCTGTTCCCGCTCTAGGCAGCCGCCCCGCCCACCAGCCCCTCTCAGACTCTCGGCCCCGCCCACCAGTCCCTCTCAGACTCTCGGCCATGCCTTCTGTTCCCGCTCTAGGCAGCCGCCCCGCCCACCAGCCCCTCTCAGACTCTCGGCCCCGCCCACCAGTCCCTCTCAGACTCTCGGCCCCGCCTTCTGCTCCCTCTCAGCAGCCGCCCCGCCCACCAGTTCCTCTCAGACTCTCGGCCCCGCCCACCAGTCCCTCTCAGACTCTCGGCCATGCCTTCAGTTCCCGCTCTAGGCAGCCGCCCCGCCCACCAGCCCCTCTCAGACTCTCGGCCCCGCCCACCAGTCCCTCTCAGACTCTCGGCCATGCCTTCTGCTCCCTCTCAGCAGCCGCCCCGCCCACCAGTCCCTCTCAGACTCTCGGCCATGCCTTCTGGTCCCTCTGGGCAGCCGCCCCGCCCACCAGTTCCTCTCAGACTCTCGGCCCCGCCCACCAGTCCCTCTCAGACTCTCGGCCCCGCCTTCTGCTCCCTCTCAGCAGCCGCCCCGCCCACCAGTCCCTCTCAGACTCTCGGCCATGCCTTCTCCCTCTCGGCAGCCGCCCCGCCCACCAGTTCCTCTCAGACTCTCGGCCCCGCCCACCAGTCCCTCTCAGACTCTCGGCCATGCCTTCTGCTCCCTCTCGGCAGCCGCCCCGCCCACCAGTTCCTCTCAGACTCTCGGCCCCGCCCACCAGTCCCTCTCAGACTCTCGGCCATGCCTTCTGCTCCCTCTCAGCAGCCGCCCCGCCCACCAGCCCCTCTCAGACTCTCTGCCATGTCCTTCAATTCCACCAGCCATGCCACCCCGCCCCATACTCCCCCAGCCACTTCCTCCCTGTGTCCTGCCCCAGCTCTTCTGTCCTGTTCCCTCTTGCGGGTTGCCCCGCCTCCTAATCACTCAAGCCACTTGGCCCTGCTTTCTGTTCCCCCTTGTGCTGTCCTCTATTCCTCCCCGCACCGGTGCCCTCAGCCACTCCGCCCAGGCCGCTGCTCCAGCTCTTGTGAGCCACTTCTGCCTCTGCTCCTGGTAGCAACTTTCTCATCCTGCTCAACAGTTACCTCGTCCTCCGCTTATGCCACGCCCCACTCAGCTTTGTAACCTTCCCATTGGCTGCGCAGTCAGACACTCTCACAGGCTTCAGAACTCTCCAACCATCCAAAGAGATTCTGCTCCTCTTCCTGCCCTGCCCACTGTTCTCAGTTTCATGGAAACTTCTAGAAAACAAAGCTGGTACTTCAAATCTGCTTCTAGAAGCTTCCAAAAACTTCGACACCTGCCCCTTCTGCTAGTATACTGTCATTGGTTCAAATCTCTCCCCTCAGAATTTCCTGCACCTGACTCAACCTCAGCTTATTCCCCTGCCCACTCGGGCCTCTCTAAGCGTGTGGCACTGTGCACCACAAGCTGCGCCATTGTAGCACATACCAAATGAAGACTGTGCACAAGGATGTCGCTACTGTCCCACACCCAACCTCCAACTGGTATCCCACCAACCACTATTACCACCTGTTTTGAACGTGCTAGTCACTTGGCCCACCGTTTGGAGCCGCCAACCACCCACTCCGGGACCTTCTACTCAAACCCACTCAGGGGTTTCAGTCCAGGTCTCACCAACACCACCACCCCGCCCCTAAGGCTTTAACGAAGCTTTCCTACTTCCTTTCCTACTTCGTTAGTTCTTTTCGGTAGTGCCGGGGATCAAACCCAAGTCCTTCTGCATTGCTGGTGACCACCTCAGCTAACATTATGGTCCTTGTCCAACCGCACTTTTTCTGAGAGGAAAAAATGGTCCCAAAGTTCCCATGTTCACAGACAGAATCCAAGGTATACTGTAGTAGTGTTTTTAGTTAAATCCCCTACACTGAGACCACTGCCCTCCTTAGCCCACCATTTTCATACCTGCTTCCGAAGCGCCTGGCGTTCGTTACAGCCACTACCATCTCCTGAGCGTATATGCAACGGCCGCCTGGCACAGCGCCTTTTATAGGGCGCTGCCCCCAGGCAAGATGGCAGCTGACATGTTCCCGCCTTTCCTGTACCCACCTATCACGTGTGATCTTGTTCTGTTGCTATGCACTTGTTACATCAACTTCCGGAACCAGGTATTACTTGTCACGGAAGTGCGTCATTTCAATATAGACCTGTAAACCAAAACCCATTCTCGAACAACCTCAGCCGCTAACAGCCCATTTTGTTTTTGAGATCTGCCTTTGAAATACTGGGATTACACATGTAAAGCCACCATGTCTGGCTTCTTTTTGAGTGACAGAAAAAAACTGAATTCTTTAAAATGTGAAAATTTGAAGGCTACTTTTCTCGAACTTTCATTAGCTGCCATTTTGTTTTTTGGAGGGGCGGGGCTTGGGATTATTTTTTTGGTTTGGGGATTTTATTCCCGTTTTTCCCCCCCTGGTTTTTCCTTTGCCGTTTTTCCCCGTTTTTTCGGTTTTACCCCTTTTCTTTTTTCCTGTTTTTTTTCCTCTTTTTGTTTTTATACCCGTTTTTTTCTTTTCTTCCCCCCCCCCCCCCAAGACAAAGTTTCTCTACATAGCAGCACCTGTCCTGGAACTCACTCTGTAGACCAGACTGGGATTATTAAATGCATGCTCCTCCACCACCCGACTGACCAAATCTTTTAAAATTTTGTCTACCTGAGCGCTGACCAAAAGGACCATCTAGTCCCCACAATAACAGCAAGAAGCAACCCAAAAACATCTTAGCAACAGTGAACTGTGGTGCAGCCATCCAGAATTGTTTGACCCTGGAGAAAAAAAATGGGAGTATGGTTACTTAAACTTTATCGTGCCCATTTCAAACGCACCAAGAATGACAACTGCTTTTCATACTTTACCTTTCTCTGGCAGACATCTATATTGGACACACAATACATAGGAAACATCCTATGCTTTTATTTGCCTGTCTAGGCATTGTTCCAGGTGGTTCATGTGGGCTTTAAACTGACACCTTGCAAAATATACCTTTAATTCCAGCACTTGGAGGGAGCCATATCTCTTGAGTTTCAGGCCAACCTGGGCTACAGAGTTGAGCTCTAGAACAGTCACATAGTAATATCCTGTCTTGCAGAGAAAAAGAGTACATGAGGGGATGGAGAGGGTTGGTACAGTGGTTAAGAGCATTATTCTTACAGAAGATTCAGGTTCAATTCCCAGCACCCAAACAGTGGCTTACAACCCTCTATAAATCAAATTTCAGAGACTGAGTCACTCTTCTGAACTCCTTATATATTGTTTACATACATGCAATAAATACATACATGTAAACAAACCCCATATTTGTAAAAGAAATAAAATTAATAAATAAATGAAAGACTTAAAACAAAAAAGTATATATAAGATATAAACAAGTCACTGCCTCTCAGGAAGCTGAGACCAAAGAATGTCTTGAACCTAGGAGCACAGGAGCCCACCTGAACAACAAAAGGCAAGTCTTGTCTGTAAACAATTAAAAATTCAGTGTTAGGGCCTGGGAAGATGGTTTGGCAAGTAAAATGCTTGCTGGACAAGCATGAAAATAAGAGCACGGCGCCTCTTTAATCTCAGTGCTTGGAGATAGGGCCAGGTAGGTCAAAGATGGAAATGGTAGGATCCAGGCATTGGTGGCACAGGCATTAAATCCCAGCACTGGGAAGGCAGAGGCAGGAGGATCTCTGTGAGTTCAAGGCCAGCCTGGCCTACAGAGCAAGTTCCAGGACAGCCTCCAAAACAATACAGAGAAACCCTGTCTCGAAAAACCAAAAAAGATGGAAATAGTAGGTTAGAAATAAGATGGAGTCTCAGAGAAAGACACCTGATATCCTGATATCCACACATACATAAACATACATATACTATACATCTAAGCTTTTAAAAAATAAAAATGTAGGACTGGAGAAATGGCTCAGCTGTTGAAGGCACTGACTGCTCTTCCAGTGAACCCAGGTTCAATTCCCAGCACCCACATGGCTGTCACAATCATCTGTAACTCCAACTCCGGGGAAGCCAACATCCTCTTTGAGCCCGTCAGTATCACAAACATCTAGGTTTGTGAACATGCATGCAAAGCACCAATGCAATGTCAGTGCTCACATTTCAAGAGACCAAACAACTACAAAGTGGCATAGGTAGAGTTCACGTGTATAACAGCACTAATTCCAAAACATAAATAAGCTTCCTAAACTGAGAGTAATAGTTACTTTCTCCTCCTTAAAAATGGAGATCCCTTGACTATGTGGATTAGATGTATAGGTTAAGAACCTAAATGAAGCCTGGGCAGTGGTGGCGCAGGCATTTAATCCCAGCACTTGGGAAGCAGAGGCAGGTGGATCTATGTGAGTTTGAGACCAGCCTGGTCTACAGAGTGACAGCCTCCAAAATACAGAGAAATCCTGTCTCTCAAAACAGAAAGAAAGAAAGAAAGAAAGAAAGAGAGAGAGAGAGAGAGAGAGAGAGAGAGAGAGAGAGAGAGAGAGAGAGAGAGAGAGAGGGAGGGAGGGAGGGAGGGAGGGAGGAGGGAGGGGGGGAGGGAGGGAGGGAGGGAGGGAGGGAGGGAGGGAGGGAGGAAGGAAGGAAGGAAGGAAGGAAGGAAGGAAGGAAGGAAGGAAGGAAGGAAGGAAGGAAGGGACGGAAGGACGGACCTAAATGGTAAGAATAAGAAACACAAGCCAAATGTTGCTTCAGAGGGGGAGGAATGGTTCAAGGCTAGTCTGAGCAATTTCCTGAAACTGCCTCAACAACAAAAAGCTTCAATAAAAGTTAGGATTCAAATTAAATCTTTATAAAGTTCACCCAGATACAGTGGCACGTACCTGTAATTCCAGGTCAGGAAGCTGAAGCAAAAAGTTAAGTTTGAAGCCAGCCAGAGCTATGTAGTGAGACCAGGTCAACAAAATATAAGCAGCACAAGGCGGCACGTGCTTACAATCTCTTTAACATCAGCACACTGGAAGCAGAAGCAGGAGAACCTGAAGCTCAAGGCCA